GATTGTTTTTCATTGTTTAATTTTTTATGCGCTTTAAAAACGCATTTTCGTGAAATCTGCAAGCATCTTTGAGCTGCAGAATAGAAGCAAGGATGAAGTGCGAGAAAAGGCCTGCAGGAGGCAAAACGCCTGCTCTGCTCCCAGGGAGTGCGACCTTGGGAGGACATGGCCCACACTCCCTCGGGTTCCTTATTTGTAAAATAAGGATGTTGTGTCATATGAGTTCTAGGGGTTCTCTCAATATGATTATATGATACTAAAGTGTTTGATGAATAGTTTTAAAATAACAAATCATGCCTATGTAGTAATTTGAAAGACTGCATTTCAATTTATATTTTTCCAATATTTTTGAGAGACATTTAGCTTTTAATCTTCAAATTAAAGCTAATAAATACTAGAATTTTTCTTTGTAGATGTTAGGCACCCATCCCCAAAGGAAAATCCTGATATTATACTAGTTCTATCTTCTCAAACCTTCATTTTTTTCCCCCTTACATTAAAAAGACATGGTCTAAGATGGACTTTCTGATGGCCCTCTGGCTCACTTCAGTAGTGTTGACTAATAAGCTAGATCGTTAGTACCGCATGAATTCCGGGTAATTCTATTTATTATTTTAGATAATCTAAAGTAGTAAATATGTTTGTTGGGTGAATCAATCTGAATACTGTCTAAGGAAGCCTTTTTTTTTTTTTCATGAAAACTATATTCCTTTTCCCATTCCTATCAATAATGTAAATTTTTTTTTTACTAAACAGCAGTTAAACTTGCTGTCAATAGATTTTCTTTTGAGTTTAGTAATGGATTTCTCCTTAGGATATGCATGGGTGAGATCAACAAAATAAAATGTAAGATGTAACATAAGAAAATATAAGAATTAGACAAAATGAATGCAAACAGTAGAAATCTTGCTGGAAAAAAAATGGTAATGGTACCCTGATCCAAGCTGTAATAATGATACCCTGACGAATAACAGGCCTCTACCCTGTTCACTATAATAAATTCAGATAAAAAATGGAGGAGAGAGCTAGAGGTTCATTTTAATTGAGACATCAATTCTGGTAAGCAGCGCTTTGCTCGGCCTATTCCCAAAACAAGGTAGCTATCACTCCAGGAAACTCAAAGAGCTTTCATACAAAAGGGAAGGCATTATTCATTGACGTGGCACTAAGACCAACCCTGATGGAAGGACTGCATTTTATATGCAAGTAATTTATAGCTGTTCAAGTGTTGTTCATTTGTCTATCCAGGTGATTGATAAAGGAAACACTCAAATCAATTAGTCAGGAAATACCTATTGAATACCTGATGCTGGTCAGCACTGAGGCCCTGTTATCAAACTGAGCGGTATTGAGGAGGAGGGGAGAAGAAGGCGGGAAGACATTGGGATGATTTTGTGCTTGGGCTGAACTGTATCCCTTCCAAAATGTCTATGTCAAAGCCCTGACCACTAAGGTGACTGCATATGGAGATGGAGCTTTTAAAGAGGTACTTAAGGGCAAGTAGCAGTTAAACATGCTGTCAATAAACCAACAAAAAAATCATTGTCTTAAAGGTCTGGAGATCAAAAGCCCAAAATGGATCTTAAGGGCTAAGATGAAAGTCTTGGCAGGGCTGTGCTCCTTCCAGAGGCTCTAGGAGAGAAGGGTTCTCTGCTTTATCCAGTTTCTAGAGGCTTACAGCATTCCTTGGCATGCAGCCTTTTCCTCGGGTCACAAGTGTGGGTCCTAATCCAATGCTACTGGTGCTCTTACACACACACACACACACACACACACACACACACACACACACTCTGAGAGAAAGAAAGAGAGAGAGAATAATAGATAGATATGCCAGGAGTGTACACACATAGAGAAAAGGTCACGTGAGGACACAGTTGGAAGATAGCTGTCTGCAAGCCAAGGAGAGGTCCCTCAGGACAACACTTTGACCTTGGACTTCTAGCTGTGACCAGAGAATTAAACTTCTTGGTCACTCGTGGGAGTGAGGTTTTAGTGATACCTTAGAAAACATGTGGAAATGGACTTTATTTGCCTGGAGACATTTCTCAGCTTCCCTTAAAGTCTCCTGCCCCTTAAGCCAGTCTTGGGAAAGGTGCAGCTGGGGTTCCAGCAGAGCCAGAAACAAGGCCAGGATCCAGAGCTCCTGTTCCATGTTGCAGCGGGTGTGGCTCAGCATCCAAGCTAAGTCTATTAGTCCATGTGTGGAGTCCAGCATGGCCCTGTGCCATGTGGGCATAAGGGAGCCCACCCTCCTGCCACAGGGGAGTCAGGAACCCAGAAAGAGAGAGAGAGAGAGAGAGAGAGAGAGAGAGAGAGAGAGAGAGAGAGAGAGAGAGAGAGAGAGAGAGAGAGAGAGAGAGAGGAGAGAGAGAGAGCGCGCGCGCGCTTCCCTTATTTGGAAGTTTAAATACTCAGGTTTTGCACTCTAGCCGTAATCACACCCATCTTGGCCACTGACTGGCTTTCAGGTGTTTTGATGAAAAGACAGTTAAGGTAGGCAGCTTCTCACATCACTCAGACCTCACTGGGCATACGTCTAAACTGCCTTTGTCCAGTCCCTACCCCCATCCATCAGTGGGAACAGATTTGGAGAGTGTTAAACGCAGCTTTTTTACAAAGCTTTACAAATGCCTTTACCTAGTCTTTCCTTTCCTCCTTTTCTGTTGAATAATAACCAGGTTATCACAGCCTCCAGAACTCTGAGTAAGTAAGCCTTTCTAGTCTGTGATGTGTAAGCCTCCTAGTCTATGGTCCTCTGTTATGGTAGCTCTTGGCAGACTAATACAAGGAGGAACTTGATCTAAGTCTTGAAGGATAGAGAGGGCCTTTTGGGAAATGACATTGGCAGAGATCACTACCTCAGGGCCTGGTTCAGAGAAGCACTCAGCGGACGTGATGAGTGAAAGTCACATAAAAAGTTGGAACATACCTTGCTTGTGGAATCAAAGAGCAGAAAAGAGAACAGAGTGAAGGGGGTGTAGGTGGATTCTTGGGAACTTGGATGCCGTTATATCTGGGTCGGGGAGATGATTGTGGAAGATCTGGATATCCAGGGGGAGATTTGTATTTTATATATTGATAGTAGAAAATCTGGGGCTTACATTTGGGATTTTGGTAAGGAGTTAATTTTAAAAAGAGAGAGGAAGGTATGATCTGTGGCAGATGTGGAAATAAAGAATATGGTGTGGCTCCAAGAATGGCCATGAAAATAAAAAAGAGGTGAGAGTTCGATGATAGCTCAGTGTTATTAGGAAGAATAAAGGGTTAATGAAGTTAATGAGGCTAAAAGGTAACCAGATAGTTCTTCCTCCCTGGGGTTTCATGAGGATTGGAATATGTTTGAAATGGAGCTATTGCATTGATCCACCCCCACTACTTTTAAATAATTTGAAACAGAAGAGTTATTTCTTTCCAAAAGACTTTATTATCATAAAGTGCTCTCCTTGCACCTAATGCCATAGCTTACTGTGTGTGACAGTCCCAAGGGTGGGTCAGGTGCCCTGAATGCCCCACAGAATCCTGGGATGTTCCTCCCTGAGATGCACTGGCTCACCATCTGTTTCATGCACTACATGAGTGCAGTTGCTCAGATGGTTTTTATCTCTAAAACAGTGTTTGCTTTTTCTCACTGCAGGAATTATACATGTTTATTTTAGGAATTTTGGATACTATAGAAGCATGCAAATAAAAAATTCAAAAATTCACAGTCCTACTAAGATATAGGTGTTCTTAGTATTTGGAGAGTCAAACAGAAGGAACAGTTTTGCTTCCTCCCTTTTTTCAGGTAATGCATGTGTTGATATTATGTTCTTGGTAACTCTCTATAATGTTTAGAATCCCTCGTGATTTTCTCTGGGAGTTCTTATTCTTTTTTTTTTTAAATATATTTTATTGATTTTTTACAGAGAGGAAGAGAGAGGGATAGAGAGTTAGAAACATCGATGAGAGAGAGTCATCGATCAGCTGCCTCTTGCACACCCCCTTCTGGGGATGTGCCCTCAACCAAGGTACATGCCCTTGACCTGAATCGAACCCGGGACCTTTTAGTCCGCAGACTGATGCTTTATCCACTGAGCCAAACCAGTTTCGGCTCTCTAGGAGTCTAAGAATGGTGTGGTTTCACTATTTCTAGTGATTTCATTTTTCCAAGAAAATTTTGATAGGCAATCTTTGCAGTAGATGTGCAGAGGTTCAGTTCTACTCTTAGGAAGATATGGAAACCTCTATGAAATTGTTTGGTTAATTAGAATGGAAAGAATTTTATTTATTTATTTATTTCTCTGGATAATGCACCCCCCCCCCAACCCCCCGATAATTAGAACTGAGATATTTTTAAAGTTTGTGACAGGATGAAAAGTATTTTTATTTTTTTATTATTTTTTAATTTAAAAAAATATATATATTTTATTGATTTTTTATAGAGAGGAAGAGAGAGGGATAGAGAGTTAGAAACATCGATGAGAGAGAATCATCAATCAGCTGCCTCTTGCACACCTCCTACCGGGGATGTGCCCACAACCAATGTATATGCCCCTGACCTGAATCAAACCTGGGACCTTTCAGTCCGCAGGCCGATGCTCTACCCACTGAGCAAAACCGGTTTTGGCTGAAAAGTAGTTTTAGATCATACTCACCATATTGTCTTACTCTTGAACATATTTTGTTTTATTTATATTTTTTTAATGTGCAAGGAGCCAGTCATTTAATATAGAATAAACTGAAGAAAGTTCTGTCTTCTTGGACATGAAATGCATAGCTACTTGAGATAAGGTGGGAAGGGAGGGCACTGGCCCTCCTTGGTTAGGTGGTACTTTCTCGGGACTGGTGATGCTTGGCTTTTAAGAAGGTGCACATTTTACCTTGTTTTTATTTAATGTCCATGTTGAATTATTTTTCTAAATTAATGATACCATTCACTGTTTTAAAGTGATCATAAGAAATGCTCGTCTGTTTGTTAGGCTGAGTAATAAACACCTTTTATCTTTTCAACATTGCAGTTGGCTCATGTTGACCAGGCAAGCTTCCAGGTCGATGCCTTTGGAACATCATTTATTCTTGATGTCGTGCTAAACCAGTAAGTCTTCGTTGCGCTGCACTCACTTTTGTCCGATACCCATTGCATCTACCTTCTTATCCTTCTGTAAAGTTTTGCTTTCTTATTGTATTTTACTTCATCTTCCTATATCAGTTAAATTCTACATTTAAAACTAGTATATCTATTAATATAATATCTGTTATATCTATTAATATATCTGCTATATCTATTAATATGATACCTATTATAAGTATAAAGTCTGGCAAGTCACAGGAAATGGATATCCATTTTGAAATTGAAGTCAGAATAAGTTTGAGAATGAAATATGGAGGGCAAGATGTACTCCACTATTTTGCATAAAAATACGTGTGACCTAAATTTCTATGAATGACAACAATTTGAGAAAATAATACTTTTAGCATGAAATTTTCTTCTTAAGAGATAGCTACCCTTTTGCTCTGCGACTCATAGGATTGGATGTGTCTCTTATTCTTAATAATGCCTTTGGGATACTTTGATTTGGGGGTTGATTTCTGTGAGGTTTAGGGTACTGGGATTATTTGGTAAGTATCACATAATTTTGGAAATTGTCAATTATCTGTCTGCCTGGAATTTGTGGTTTGGAATAACAGAATTTTAGGTTCAGCAGTGGCTTTTGTTAAATCACTGGATTTAATCTCTTCCCTTTGGGTAAGTCTAGTGTCTAATAAGTCTTATAGGACTTTTGATTGTCGATCACGTTTTTAGAAAAAGCATTTGTATCCCACTTCTCATCATGGGCACGTGGAAAGAAACCAGTACTCTGTCAGCCAGTGTTGGTGAGCTGAGCAGCAGTGTCCAGTGGCTTTGTTGAAATCACTACCTATACAACAGCTCAGGAAGAAAATCTGAGGCCAGAAGGACAGAAATGTAGATCTAGAATAAGAACTAAAGTCTAAATTGTATACATTGGAAAACCAGGTGAATGGAAGACTATAAAAATGACATAAGAGGCAGGATTTAGAGCTGTGATATCTGGGTAACCACTAGCCTCTGGTTGCTATTAAATATACATTAATTCTTTAAATAAAATTTGAGATTCTGTTTTTCTGTTGCATTCGCCACATTCCCAATGCTCATTAGCCATGTGTGGTTGCGGGTTATCTTCCTGGACAAGTTGGGACATTTCCTTCGTTGCAGCAAGTTATGTTGGACAGTGTTGGTTTAGAGAGTCCTTTTGGAGAACAGGCACATAGGAACTGTTAGATTACTGAGCTAGGTCAGTCATTTCAGTCCATGTTCAATGTTCAATTAATAATTAATCTTACTAGTGTCCTATTTGTTATGGAATTTATGTACACATTTGTGGTAATACCATTTTTGCTGTGTTGATGTTTACGCCATGCGTTAATTTACTTTGGCATTAAGCTGTCTCAAAAGGTATATTTTGTGAGTAATTCTCCTCTCTCCCCACATTTTTGTAGTTCACCAACAATTTAAATATGAAAAAGCATGGTGCTAGATGGAAATAGACTATTTGGATGATCCAATAATGGGAGTTATTTCTTCTTTAATAATGTATATATTTAAAATGTAACATAAATATTGACAACAGCTAACACAACAATAGCCATTGGTGTGAATGAATTACAAGTATACCTATTTTTTTTTTTGTTCAGATCAGTGGAAAATATATTTGTAATATATTTTAGTAGTCAGAAAAAAAGTAACATAAATTGTATTTCAGCTATGCTCATTAAAACATCAGCTCATCCTGGGCTCACTTCCTGAACCTGCGCTCAAGGCCCCTTTTCTCTGACGTCTCAGGGAGCCAAAGCAACCTTGCTAGGCTCATTTCTTTCCTATCACATTTTTAGGGAGCCAAAGCATCCCTGCCTTGGCTGTCTCCTATAGTTTCTTCTATCCTAGGCCTTTCCTTGTTCCACTGTCCCCAGCTTTAATAAACATCCTCTCAAAATCACCGGGACTCATGTTGTGAAATCTTCCCTACTCACTATAGGCTGGCCTTAGGCAGACCCACTCAGGGCCTCGTCCCTTTTCTGGCAACAGTATGATGTTGTCATTTTTGCAGGGCAAAAAAATTGACTACTAGCATCTTCATATGATCCACTAATATCCTGTATTTAATTATTCCCCTTGTTTATTGGTGGTTGGTTTTTTTTTTTGTTTTTTTTTTTTAATGGAGGCTGTCAGAGAAGAGTGAAGCAACCACCACAACAAAAAGAAATTAATAAATGTTTGGGCCTAGCCTCTAAAAACTTAAAAGTCAGGTTTCGAAGCTTCTATTTCAATGGTTCTTTCCCACCCCTCCTTTAAATCATTGTTCTGTGGCTAGCCCCCACCATGGTTTCTGACACCTTGACTTTCAGTATTCATGTTCATTCTGCCCAAACTGCCTTACTTCCTTTGGAGAAATCTGAGCCCCAAAATGTTCTGTTCTGTTTTGAAGGAGAAATACATATGACCCATATGTATCAGAGCATGAAATAGAATACTAGGGGTGCAACTGAATTTCTTTTGAGATATTGGCAAAAACCTCCGTTGGGCATTTTCTTATCGCAATGAGAATTTAAAATGACAAGAGTTACAAAGGATAAAATAATAGCATAAAAGGAATGAGAAATATACAAAGTGATTTTGGGCATCTATATTAAACACAGATGGCAGTTAGCTAATTTTTTTATGCTATGAGAGCCCAAATGATTTAATACAAAGTTTATTTTTTTCTCTTTATTTTGAGAATGTCTTTATTTCATGGTTTCAGTTTATATATTATCTTATGGTTGTGTTGGTTAAGGAATAGAAAGATGAAAAATTGAATATGCTCTTTAAAGATTTTTTTTTTAGGGCTGTGGAACAGGTAGAGGTTTTGTGTGTTTATTTGTTAAGTTTTAAACTGAAGACAAATTAAGTTTATCTAGCTGGAATCCATTTGCAGAATAGATCCAATAATATGCATTTTTAGATTGGAATACAAAGGAAGGTGTCATTATATAATATTCCTTTTGAATGTTCAGTAAACAAGATTTTAACCAAATTGCTCATGAGTTCAATGTTTGGATTGTAACTTCTACAGGAGGCAGATAAACAATATGGAATGGCTAAAAATGAAAAGCACAGTCAGTTCCTATTTTGTCAAGATTATGAAGGGTAGAAAATAATTTTCAGTTCCTTCACGGGGTCACACAGTCATAAAATTTCACCCTTTAGGACAGATATATTAATAAAACCAAACATATGGCCTGGCCTGGTCACACTGGTCCTGAGGCCACACTGGACCTTTCCAGAGGTCAGCATCTGGTATTCTATTTTATTGTGAAGCATTTCTCAGAATGAAAAGGCTCAATAAAAACTGTTAGCTATATTAAGCAACGTAAACCAAGTCTTACCCTGCAATCTTTCTTATTTTTGTTACGAAGTGGGTAATTAAACAGCCTGAAAGAATTCATAAATATTGAAAAAATTCATTCATTACTTCTTGATTCTTTTTTTTTCTTTTTCTTTTTCTTTTTTTTCTAAATCTTCACTGGAAGATATTTTTTACATTGATTTTTCAGACAAACTGGAAGGAAGGGAGGAATGGAGAGAGAAATACTGATGTGAAGGAGACAGGGATCAAACCCCCAACTGAGGTACATGCTCTTGACTGGGAATCAAAGTCATGATCCTCAGGCTGATGCTCTAACCACTGAGAAAACTAACCATGGCACTCTTGATTCTTTCACAACGAGTGGCTTGAAAAAAACAAACCACACATATGGGGACACACACACACACTCCACAAAGAAGCAAGTGCTCCACATGGACTGCAGTTGGTTGTGTCAGAATAGGAAACATAATAATAAGAAAGAACCTATCTTTTATAATCTGTTTTTTTTTTGGTGTTTTTTTTTTTAATTGATTCTGTGATATAGTTTCAGATCTGAGCTGATTCTATTCCTAGATTTTGACTGTATTTTACAGACCCTCCCCCTCTTATCTTCTTACTCCAATAACAACAAAAATAATTTCTTTCAGTTATGATCCTCCTTTTCCCCCTATTTTACAGTGGTAGGTGGGGAAGACTAGGGACTTAAACACGAAGCTGTCAGCAGGTAGGGTTGCCCGTGCAGAATGGGAGGGGGTGTAGTGATGGCAGGGGGCAGGGCACGTAGAAGGGTAGGAGCAAGGTCAGACAAGGAAACCCCCAAATCAGTTCAAATGGGCAAGTCCAGTCTTGTCTTCTTTCACTTAGAACCATTTGCCTTTTTGTTACCTCTTGCTTGCTTTGCACTGGAACTCTTGTATCTGCAAGAAAAGTAAGAATCACAGTGGGTAAAAGGTGGTGTGAATTCAACTGGGATTGGAGGTTAGGTTTGGAAGGGTCTCATTTACTTAATGCTCTGTTTGCAGTGAGGTAAATAGAATGTCACAGCATCCTTGGTCCTGTTAGTCATCTGTTTTCTAATAAACCTATTCCAGGATGATGTGTTGGCTGGGTCTCGTCCCCTTCTTAGTCCATGCATGTCATTTTCAGAGGTATTCCTGCCTCTTTGGGGTGACACAATGGACTGACTCTAAAAGGTGGGTATTGCAGGCCAGCTAGGAAGACAAGAAAGGCTTTTGAGCGCTGTGATGTCTCTTACATTTCACAACACCAAATGCATGATATGCACAGAACCAGCTCTACTGAAAGCATGCTTGGAGCCTGTGAACCCAGATTTATACCAGACCCCACTGAGAATTCAAAACAATCGAGCATTTAGGAAAAGAACAAAATCAAACAGTTTTAGTAATGAATGTTTCTGAGTTTTCTGAAATAAACAACATACTAAAAATCTTTTTAAAATTATTTGAATAGTTTTATACTCATTGAAGTCAATTCCATGGTGAAAATGGTTGATTTTCATTCTTCAGCCAAACTTCATCTGTGTAGATCAGGTATCCTGTTGTCACTTGAGTAATCCCCTTCCCCCGTTACTTTCTATCTCTCTGGATCTGATTTGATGTGGATCTAATTCATATCTTTAATTTTTTTTTCCATTTTGGTCCCACCTTGA